ATTTCTTAATAAAAAATTTATTTAATTTATAGCAAATTAGATAAGTATAATTACTATTAGAATATAATTTTAAAATAATATATCGACCCAGAAAAGATAGTATTATAGCCGACGCTTTATTAAAAGAAATAGAGGATGTAAAGACGATAATTTAAAAAAAGGAGAATTAATGGATATTATAATTCTTGAAATTTAAAAATAGAGTCTTTATATACGTTAGTAATAAGGAAGAAATATTAATAATTAAGTTTTTAATTATTTTTTTTATTTATATTTACGGAAATTGTTCCTATTGAACCGGAATTTGAAGAGTAGAGTAATAACGAGGAATTACGAGTAGAGGAGAGAATAGAGAAGGAGAACACTATTTAATTATAATTATTAATTGAGTAAATTTTATATATCAATTAGATAGACGAATCTATTTCGATTTATTGCGTAAAGGCCGCGACGGTAAAAGATAATAAAATAATAGAGGTCCCGTATTTATGTTCTATATAAGGTTTAATATTATATAATAGGAAATTTATTATTCCGGATATTAATAATTTTAAGATTAAAATAATTAAAGAATATTACGTTATATTATTTATAATATATTTAGGGAGGAATAAAATACGAAAGGTAATTACCCTCCGTTATTAGTAGTCCGGGTTAATGGCCGATATTAACCGATACGTTAATAATTGTTAGATTTATCGATTTTCAAAAGTTCTAAGGAATAAGATTCCTAGATTGTTATATATAATACCCCTCCAATCCGATTATAGGGCGTAGTAATCCGTTGTGGTAGACTTTTAAGTTTATACCTAAGGATAAAAAAGGGTATAATAATATATTAGTAATAGCCGACTGGTTTTCGAAACTATTTTAATATATCCTATATAAAGACATAATAATGGAAAAGAAAGCCGTTCTATTTTATTATAAAGATTATACTAAATCCTAAGCTTACCCTAAGACGTTATAAGCAACAGAAGTCCCTAATTTATTTCGGATTTTATCTAAAAATTAATTCGGTTATTACGAATTACATAGAAATTAAATAGTATTAGTTATTTATAGACAGCGGGTTAAATTGAAATTATAAATTAGTATATCGATTAAAGATTGAGACCCTATATATTTTATACCTAAGACGATTAGTCGGATTTATTTCTCGTTTTAGATTTCGTTTAAGGAATATTCCTATATAAGAATTTAAACGGGATATTGCTATATAAAATTATATTTAAATATAAGCGTATATTACCTATAATAAATTAGATATAAGGGATATATACCGGTGGAGAATAAGGTACCCTAAGGGAGAAATTATTATAGGAAGAAGTAAAATAAATAGCTTAGAAGTTAAAACGAGTATAGGCTATAGCTAGGACGGCGATTTAGAAGGCCTAAGAAAAATAAATAAAGTAGGCTAATTAATATCGACGTTAATTGGATTTTAGTATTAATAATAAGGTTTTTATTATTAAGAAGACTTAATCTATTAATAGACTAAACGATAAGCTGGACTTTCTATTAATTCGTATACTTTATAAAATCGTTGGAATAGCGGGATATTTATACGAATTAGAAGTCTTAGCGTCCTAGAGGAGCTCGAAGGTATTTTATATTGATTAGTTGAGAAAGGACTTAAGTAATTCATTATTTGGGTAAGCTAACGAGAACCCGGGCGGCGAAATTATTAACGACGAAGAAGAATAGGAGGTAGAAGAAATTGTAACATATAGATTAATTAATAAGGAGTTAAAATATTAAATTAATTAAAAAGGTTAGGACTTAAACCTAATTTAGTATAAAGTTAAGGGATTTAAAAATGTAATATAAAAATTAAATGAATATTATAATAATAATCCAGAAAAGCCGGGACCACTAAAAAAATTATATTTATAGTTAAAAGCGATAGAAAATGGTATACTTACTAAAGAATATAAAAACGATAATTAACTAGTAGAAGGATTAATAAAAGGCAAGGCTTTAAGGAGGTTCTAAAGGAAGAAGTAAGAGTTAATAAGAGGAACGGTTATAATAATCAATTATAGACCGTAATTTTAATTATATAGTATAATAGTATAGCGTAATAGTTTATATTATTTGACGAGAGTACGCTAAGGTCCGATGGTATTTGTCCTCTGCCTGGGAGGCGGTCTGTTCGAATCCGATTGGGGGAAGTTTTTTTATTTTTAATTTTTTTTAAAATTTTTATATTTTTTTATAACTTTTAGTACTACGACAACTAAATTAAAGATATAGTCGTGATGCGCGGGGTGGAGTTTGTCTTATTATTCCTTTTTAAAAGCTTTTATCATAATATAACAAATTGAACCAACTATTATAATAATTTTATATATTTATTTTATTCTATTATCTCGCAATTTTTGCTATAGAGTTTTATTTTGTTTCTCTTTTATCGCAACATAATAGATTGAACGAACCATTACGATAGGTTTATATATTTGTTTACGACCTTTTATATAATTATATTTCTCTTTTATTTTATTTTATTTCATTTTATATTTTCTTTTCTTACGGCTTTGGGGTTAAGCCTTTCTTTAGAGGGGGGGGGGGGGGGGTGATATTATAGCATGGCTGGATAGGTTATTAAAATACTAGCTATTGGGCAATGGGGTGCAGGGCATAGGGTACCATGGTATATCGGATGGAATGTGGCTTATATTTTTATTGATAAGACTGTACGGATTAGGAAGGCAGCGACGAGTGGCAGTTCTGACTTATATGTCTAGAACCGTAATGCCTTCGTGTGACTGCTTCCTTTTCCTCCTTAAACGCTGCTTTTTCTTTAGGGGTAGGATTATAGAATATTTTTTAATAATAATTAATTCTTTTCGCTACTTTCCTATTTTTAATTAGGCTGGCTTTTTAACTTTCCGCTAATAGTAATACCTTCCTTATTTATAATAATTCCGAAATCTACGTATAGTATGGAATTAAATATTTAATAAATCCTATACTACCTATATATTATTTTAATACTTTTAATTATTTAGGGAATTCTAATTATCGGGATATTTTTAATTAATTAGTTATCTTCGTTAATCTTAAAGCATCGACTTTAAAACTTAATAATTTGACGTTAGAATAACTTATTTAACATTTTTTAAGCGAAAGGTAAATATTTTCATTAATAAAGAATTAAAAAACCTCTTTTAAGTATTTTAAATAATCCTCCGCGGTATTCGAGAAAATAATAATATCGTCGATAAAAGCTCTATAGAATAAAGAAAAAAGAATTAGAAAACGATCTATATCTTTAAATATAGGCGGAGGTATTTTTATACCCGATTAATATAATTATTAGCCTTTCCAATCTTTTCAAACTTATTAATATAAATCTATTTCTATATAGTAGCTATATCCCGAATTAATAAAAGAAAGCCATTATATTAATAATTATAATCTATATTTTACTGTATAAAGTAGTAATATTTTTAAATTATAAAGAAAGAGGGTACTTATTAAAGATAATTATTTTGTTAAGGTTTCTTAAATTAATTATTATTTTTACTTTTAATTGGCCGTAAATTATCCGCTAAATTATAAATACTAAATATAAAAGTAGTATTACCCTTATAATTTATTCTATTTTACCTTTTTCGTTTAATTTACCAAAAATTTAATTTAAAACGTTTTTGTTTTTTCTATTCAAAGGGTATAACTTTGATACGACCTTTTAATTTTATTAACCTTTTACTAAGGGTACCCGTATTAAATCTTCCGGTAATTATTCTATTAATTTATTATTTTACTAGAATTTAAGAAATCTTTCAATGAATTTACGTATTTTTTAAACTATAGTAGAGTCCTTAGCGTAAATATAGATTCCTTCCTCTATTACGATTTTTAGGATATTATTAAGCATTTTAATATTAAAGGTAGAATATTTCTTTAAGATATATAGTTTAGGCTCTTCTATTATAATTCTTTTAATTATAGCCGCGTTATAGGGTTAAATTAGGATATCGAATATATTTTACGGATTTTAAATTATATTAAATAAGCTATCGATTATTAGGGTTCTAAATATAAGTAGGGGTTTAATTAGGGTAAGAATTACAAGTATTAAGTTATTTAATTTATTAACAATAATTATATTCTAGCCAGTAACGGTACTATCTACTACGGCCCTAATTATATTATCTAAATTAAAACCTTAATTAAGTACGGTCGTTACTATATTAAATGTGTTTATAGGGATTAAATCTACTATAATTAAATTAACTATAACAATTGCCTATATTCTAATTATACTGCTTAGTACTATTAATACGGCCCTTATAATAATAATTTTCATAATTTTTATCTAAATTATTATAAAATAACCATAATTTTAAGTTTTGTATATTTCGCCTAATTTATTATATTTTTTAATAATAAAAGGTCCGTTAAATATATTTACTAATTTTACTACTTTTAAATTTAATATAGAGACTATCGCGTATACAGCGGCGTTATACTAGGTAATAAAATTAAAAGTTTATCTTTTAAATAAAGGTACGTAATCTACCGGTATAAAGGCTTCTTAATTATAAAGGAGCACAACCTTTATTATAACTGTTATATACCTTTTATAGGGCTTAATAATAGCGCCCCGTATATAGATCGGTATTAATCCGCTGGATAGCGACGACGACCCCTTAAATAATGAAAGCCTATCTAATAATAGAGGGGGAAGTAGTTATAATCTATTTAATAAATACGATTTATTATCCTTACTGCCTCCTAATAAATTCCTATCGCCCCTTCTTTAGGGAGTAGGAAACTATATTCCTATCGGTCCATTAGTACCTTTAACCCGAAGTACGAAGAGATTTTATAAAGTGAACGACCTATCCGTCTTTAATAATAATGCTAACGATAAAGTATTATTCGATATATAGATATTTTAAATATAAAATAAGTTTTATATTAATATAGATTATTTTATAGATTAGAGGGTTTAGATTGGAGAAGTATTATTATGCTTGGGCGGATAAGTGGCGGAAGGAATTTTACTATATTTTAACGGTGGATATTTAGAAGCGATCCTTATAGTTGATTATTTGTTCCAATATTTTTGGAATGATTACTATAATTATACCGCTAAAGAAAAAGCTATACGGGATTTCGAGAAGTTGAAGATGAGGCTTTTTAAATGATTCTAAGATTTTAAAACTATATTCGTACGTTTGGTTGGGTAGTATATAGTCCTTAAGGAATTTTGGAAAAGAGATATACGAAAGAAGGTGCTCCTTACGCTAGCGGTCCTTACCGAGGCGATTTATTTAAAAGAGTATAAAATATTTGAGGATTATTATTTTTTCCTTCAATCTCTCGATTTTAGTATTAAATGTAGTAGCGAAGATTAGAAGTAGAAAGATAGAAAACTTTATACCCCGGCTAGAATATTATTTAAGTTTAAAATATTTATTATTATTATTTTGAAATATTAGCGCCCTATTTTCGACAAAATGAAGAAATTGAGCGTTAAGAACTGTTGTTTTAATTATAGAAAGATTAAATACCGATCTGATTTATATTCCGATTTAATTAAGATTTTATCCTTAGAAGTTGAGTTTAACGCTATTATTAATAAAATATAGGGGTTTCGGACGGTTTTGAGACGGAGTAGTTAGAGGATTAGACCGAAGAATTAGAGGTTGATAGTTTATATTCCGACGGTTTAAGATTGGATTTAGAATCGGATTCGGAAAATTAAATACTTTAGGAAAAGAGGTTGCTATTTTGGGGGAGGCATCCGTTTAAATTAATAAGGTTAATAATTAAATAGATAATTGGTATAGTAAAATATATTTAGACTTTAATTTGAGGAATTATTTAGGTAGAGGAAAATTATTTTTAATTAATTGTATTATAGTAAAGAATAGATTATTTATCTTACTTCAATGAGTTTTAGTAGATATAGGAATAAATATATATATTCTTGTAAACCGATTATTTGCTAGTAAATTAAAAAAATATTTAAATTTCGACCTTTATAAAAATTTCGAACTAGGGCTAGTAATACCCTATAAGAAAGCTAAACTCAATGAAATCCGATAAGCCTTGAAAGGTTACCTATGTATTAATAACGTTATCTTTAAAAAAAATAGTAGATAGTCGTACTACCAAATTTGAAAAGGGAAATAATTTTGGGAAGAATGTGGTTGGCCGAAAACGATATTTTATTTGATTATAAAAGAGGGATTTTATTGTTTAGATTTGAAGTAGTCCTTATGTTAGTAAGGGATATTGAAGTAGGTAAAGTAGGGCTATTGATTAAAAATCCTAATTTTTAGGACGATATATAAAGAAGGGAGGAATTGATAGCCTAGGAAGATTTGTATCGGGAAGTAGGCTGTAGGATTGAAGTAAGAAAAAAGTTATAATAAATCTTAGCGAAGATATACAAATTGGAATTTTTCGAAAAAGATTAAAAGGTATAAAAAGAGGACTTAGACGTTGTTTAAAATTGGAGACCTTTAAACCTTATATAAAAGACGCCTAATCGATTGTTATTTTTTGACGCTATAAAACGAATTCTTAATTGAATAGAAAGGGAATTATAAGAAGAATGGGAGGAAGATTAGAAAATTAACGGAGTAGTAGTAAGGATGCAAAAAGCTACTACTATAGCCGAATTATACCCTTTTTAGAATAAGAAAGGCCCTTGTTACTTTTAGTATAAATAGGGGTAAATAAAGAAACGTCCTATAGACTTAGCGGTAGTTAATAGAATTATATTTAGTTATTACGTAAAAATTAAAAAAGTAAAGCCCAAAGTAACGAATCTATACGAAATCGATAATATAGTTAAATTATTGCGTATAGGAACTTTGGTAAAAAATAATAAGAAATTATAATAAGTAATATTAAAAAAGGTATCAAACGATTATTATAATTTGAAGGAATTAAAAGTTTTTAGTAAAGTGGATTTAAATATATTATTAAACTACCGATTGGGAGTAGATTATAAAATTATTTTATAAGAAGGTTACTGGCCGGAGGAACTAAATTTTAATTTATTATATTAAATAACCTTTTAGGAATTTAAGGAATATTAAAAATATATTATTAAAAGTCTATAAAAAAGATTTATTAAAGTGAACTTTATACATTGGATAGTATTAATTTTCTTTATTCTTAAAGCGAATAGCGGCGGGCTACGGTTTTATATAAACTATAGGAAATTGAATATAATTTCTTAAAAGGATTACTACTTATTACCCTTCATTAACGAAATATTAATATATATTAACTAAATTAAAATATTTACGAAAATCCATATTCGTTAAGTAATTTATTATATCAAAATAACGGTTGGGTAGGAGGATTTAATAAGTTTTCCGAATAAGCTTTAATATTTAATTAATAAAAGGTTTTACCCTTCGGTTTATACGGAGGGCCTTTTTCCTTTTAGAAGTTTATAAATAATAAATTGATAGGATATTAACATTTTTGTAGTACGTATATTGATAATATATTTTTTTAAGAATATTATAAGAGTATAAAACTTATATAAAGAAGGTTTTATAACGATTTTATACGGTTGGATTTTAAGCCGATATTCGAAAGTGCGAATTCTACGTAATAAAAATAAAATTCTTAGGGTTTATTATTAATATCGACGGTATTGCTATTGATTTAGAGAAAATCGTTACTATAGAAAATTGGTTACGCCCTTTAAATTTGAAAGGGGTATAAGTATTTTTAGAGTTTTGTAATTTCTATTATAAATTTATAAAAGAATTCGGCCGGCTAGCTGAGCTTTTAAATAGATTTATAAGAAAGGATAAAATTTTTAAATAAAGCGAGGAGTATTAGTAAGGATTCGATGATTTAAAATTAATTTTGCTGAACGCCTCCGTTTTGATATATTACTAATTTAGAAGCGAGATTCGGTTAAAAATGAATGTTTTAGACGGAGTTTGCGTAGGAATATTATTATAGAAAATAGTAAACGATTATTAGTATCCTATAACTTTCTATTTTAAAACGATAGCGCTAGTAGAATTCAATTACTTAGTATATAATAAAGAATTATTTACGGTTATTAAAGTAATTAAAATTTGGAGGCTAGAATTAAAGAGTATTTCCTCGTGCTTTGAGATTATTATAGATTATTAGGTATTTGAATTCTTTATTACGAAACGATTATTTAATTTTAAATAAGTTGGTTAGTGAAAGCTATTGTCCGAATATAATTTTAAAATGATTTATTAATTTGGGAAGGAAAATGCGGCTACCGACGGTCTTTTAAAGAAGTTAGAAGTTTTAAAAATTATATTTTAAAAGCAAAATAATTAAAGGATATTGAGAGTATTGAAATTGATAGGAGATTATTTTGTGTATGTAGGCGATAAAGTCGATACTTTTTAAATCGAATTAAATATAATATTCGAAACCTCCGATAAATTGGAGGCTCCGCCTGAGAAACCGGAGGTTCCAATAGACGATTCGGAGGCTACCCTTAAAAACTCGGAGGGTACTATCCTATTAATTAATAGATTATTAAAGGCTAATTGAGCGGAAGAATTATTATTCATTTATAAAATTAAAATGGAAAATAAAAATAAAAGTTTTAGTATAAGAAATCATTTCTTATTATTCGACAATAAATTAGTAATCTTAGATAAGGATATTTTGATAATAGAAATTATACAGCTTTATTACGAAATTTTATTAATAATATACCCCAAGCACAATAAAATTAGGAAGTTGTTAGTAAAATAATATTGGTAGCTGGGAATAGTAATTAATATAAATAGGTACGTAAATAATTATTGGATTTATAAATCTTCGAAAGTCCTCTACGGTAAAATAATTAGATTATCATACCCCTAATTAATATTATTAAATTGCCGAATTTAGTATTTAGTTATTATAGATTTTAAAACGATACTTAAGGAGAAAATATATGGGTATAATAATTTATTAGTTATAGTCGATCGATTATTTAAAGCGTTTTAGTACGCGCTATACTATACGATAGGAACGGTAAAAGAGATTGTATAATTATATTATAAAGGATTTTATTAAGTATACGGCCTTTCTTGAAATATAATTAGCGATTGAGGATTTTGATTCGTATTAGAATTTATATAGGAATTAGTATTAATTTTTGGAATATAATAGAAATTTAATTCTTTTAGTTATTTATAAACGGTTAGTTAAACCGAAATAATAAATTAGTATGTAGATTAAAAGTTACGGCTATATTTTAATTATAATTAAAATAATTAGTTAAAGGCTTTACTGGCTCTTAATATAGTATAGGCGGGCTTACTTTACAATAATTTAGATAGATTTTTATTTTACGAAATTAGTTTTGGCTTTCCTATCTATATACTTTTTAATTGGGAGGATTGGATTAAGACGGTTATAAATAAAAAGTAAATATAATAGGAGGAAGTTTAAAAGATATTAAGAATTTTAAAAATTTATTATAAGTGGGCGCGTTTAGCTATTAATAAAGTATAAGAGTAATAAGTTAAATAAATTAATAAGTACCGAAAATCCTTAGATTTTGGGGTAGGTAATAGAATTTTTATTATTAAAAAAGGTTAATTTATAAATCGATTAAGCAATAAGTTAGACTTCCCCTAAATATATATTCTTTATAAGATTATCACGATAAAAAGGGTATTATATAAATTAGAATTATTAAAAGGATAGAGAGGGGCCCGGGTATATTATGCGGACTATTTAATAAAAGATTTAAATAATTTACTACTGGGCTAAGTAAAGGAAAGTTTTGTAGGAATAGTATTAAAGGGTGACGGCGACGAAGCGGAGGAATTTGAGGTAGAAGATATTATAATTCTTAAATTAGTAGGAAATATATTGTATTATTAGGTATAATGGAAAGGATAGAACCCAGATCCCAAATAGTATTTGGCGGAGGATTTTAAGAATGCGGCGGATAAGTTGAAGTAATTCTACGATGAGAATGTAAATAAGTTAGGATTATTAAAACGATTGGGAGTATAGAAGAAGGCGATAAATAATAGTTTGATTGCTAAAAAGTATAAGGATGATAATAGACCAGTAGATCTAATAAAGTAAAGAAAAATTAGAAGAGCGCGAAAGAAGGCTTAATAAGAATACGGGGTAAAGTAATTGTTAACGGTTATAGGATAGTGTATAATATAGTAGCGTA